TCAGGTAGTCGATGAATAGCGCACCATTAACCAAATAAACTCTCGGTTTTTTCAACAGGAAAGCGATATAATTGATTCACCGACAATGCTCTATTACAAGAGCGGTCTTGGTGACAAAATCAGCGACTACGAGGACGTGTGGGCAAGCGACGGCACATTGCTGAAGCCGAAGGTGAGCAACAGTTTGGCGTCTCCTGATCTGCTGCAGCACACGCCAGGCAACGTCCTCTCTCTGAACGACAACGTTCTGAGCCCTGCTGAGTCCTCCCACAACGGGTCGGCGCAGAGGAGCGTGTGCAACACTCCCGTACCAAAAGGTGAGCGTTCCTCGGCAAGTCACTGGCCTAGAACTAATGGAGGGGTTTTAGCCAGCAATATTCAGTCGCCGCTGGCAGACTCGGTGCCACAAGTTCGGCCTCAGACGCCCGAACTGTGCAGCCCGCACACTCCCAAACAGCAGAGTCCATTCTATGCAGAACCTGCTGATTCGTTGAGCTCGATTCAGCAAGCGGTGGCGAAACGGATGGTTACCAGGCCTGCACCGGGCATTCCCATTCATCATAGACATTCCAACCCGCCTGGACTGAATTCGATGAAGGCTCTTAGTCCAGGCCTGGAACGAGTGGATGATGGCATCGAGTTTAATGGCGGTGTGTTACCATTTTTTATTTTCATAGATTCAGAAACGCGAACAGAATTCCGCGAGTTTCAACTGCTCATTTGATGTTTCAGGAATCATGTCTTCTTCAGTGGACAATCTCAGTCCCAAGCAGAGATTTTTGGGCTTGCGAAGGCCGGAAGCGAAGCCAGTGCAACCGCCCTTCATCAAGCCGAAAGTGAGCACGAGCGAAACGTGGCAGGTGGATAATGGCTGGAAGTTTCTCAGTACGTATTTTTGGGGAGTTTATTGCGATAGACTGGCAGTTTCTTAACAAACTTTTTTGTTTCTGCTGGCTGGAAGAGTTCAAGATTTTTGTGGCAAAGCGTCCAAAAATTTCGCAAAAAATTGTGGTTTTGGTTTAAAATGTCTTTTTAAATTCGCTTTTTCTCCTTAAACAGGGTGTCCTTAGACATTATTTGGCTCAAATGAAGACCATATGACCTAACTTTTATTAAGGAAAAATATCCGGCCTGGGTACCACTGTGTTGAGTTGCGCTATTGAGTTGTTGCCGCTCTCTGAGTTAACGAGTTATAACTCATCGCTTCATGAGTTATACGTGATTTATTAATAACCCGATACTCAAATTTTCACATTAAAAAAAGCGATTAACATTTTTTCTGAGTAACGTTTTTCTACTTTGCTCAAACAACTCAAAAAACTTATCTAGATTTTCCCTGCAACAGAACTGAGTTCAAAGAAAGTCGAGCAGTTTTCTTGTTAAATCGAGCTCTTAATTTTGTTGCGTAAAAATTCAGTTTGCCAGTATTTTACCTTAAAACGTTAGGAAAAACGCGGTTTTTCTGTTTAGAGTCAATGTTGTTTGGAAATATTGACCGAAAAGTGAAGAAACCCCAGTTTCCAAGAGTTTTCAAAATAAATTATTATAAAATTTGGCTTCGGTTCGGGGAAATATTTTTTGGAAAAATACCCAGACATAATTATTAGGGTTTTGTCCATAATTCGAACGATTGATTGAAAATACGCCCAAAGGAGACGTCTGAAAAGTCTCCTATGGTTTTTGGTCTAAAACGAGAAAAACCGGAAAATTTGAAGATTAAAAATTCTTCAGAGGAATGAGAGTGACTAGTTTTCCAAATAGTTGATTGGGAAAACTTTAATTTTTTCGAAAAAACAGTAAGATAACTTTGTTTCCATTTTGTCCCAAATGTGTAAAGGTAAAACGGGTATTTGAGAACGATACCAAAAGTCAAGACCAAGCCATAAAGACGACGAGTTTTCTTGTAAAATCAATCTCTCAAATTTTTTGCAGAAAAA